CTATTGTAGATATTGCCGAGCTATCTAGGATGTATCTGTGTATCGGGTTTATGTACGGATTGTAGTAGGATGGAACTTGCATGTGGGCCTGACCCACCTTTATTTTTCAGGTGTTCATGAGTACCCGGCTTAGGGTTTGATCGTGGTGATGCAGATACAGTCATTCACTCTTCCAACTAAATTGGATTTTCTTTTTGGTTTTAGTTTTGGATTTTATTCTGTAAAGTTTTATCAGTTGAGATTATTAGGGGTCCACTAGTTGGATTCCCGAGTTGTACGGATTGGAAAGTTTAATTTATATTAAAACTTTTATTTTTGGAGGTTTTACAATTAGAATTCTTTTCAGCATATCATTATTTTATTCTTAATTCGGTTCTATTCCTGCTTGTTTATATATTGATTGTCTGGTATCCTTCGGATCTATGCCCGGACTTGATCACCCGTGGTTCTAGAATCGAGGGGTATAACAGTTGGTATCAGAGCACTCCAGGTTCTAGTGTCTTTCGTTAGAAGTCTTCCGCGTTGCATCTCTTAAAACTTAGAGCTATGTTAGGATTCATTGTACTCTTTTACGGTTCGTTAGGAGGAGCAGCTGATGTCAATTATATTCTATAAGTATAGAATGGTTGACACTAGAAGGAGGATGGGGTCCGCAGCAACAGCGATTCAGACCCAAAGGAGTAAAGGAGTATGTTATCAAGTTCTTTATCAGAAGCAGAACTCGGGATTAAAGGTTTAGTTCCGGTTGGCATTACTTTTAGAGGAATAGGCCAAGGAAGAATTTAGGAGTATGTTTGAGGTCATCGCATGAAGGGACCAACACGATTGCAGTTGTTCTCATAAAGGAGGCAAACAGGGAATAGGAGTCCCAAGAGGATTTTTGGGTTACCTTTAAAGGAGGTAGATAAAGGAACTCTTCAGGGGTTTAGGAATCGGATGGAGTTCTTCTTAGAACGAGGCAATGATTTTATATCACGTTCCGGGAAGTATGGGAATTAGGTTGTGACAGTCTAAGTTGTTTCTTAAAGCTACATTAGGTGGTTTGCATTTCGTATATAAGGAGGATGAAGGTTAAGCCTTTGGAATTTGCTAAACCAAATGGATATGTTATGAGCTATGATTGGAGCTTATGTGTCGAGGTTGGATGATTACCTCTGGAATTGAAAAAGATATTATGAACAAATAAAGTAAAGTTAATTTCTAAAGGAGATTTCTTTGCTAGGAGGAACGGTGCTTTATGTAAGATTCTATTGCTTTTTATTGTGTTTTAGCGTGTGTGCTATATGTGTTTCATTTTGGTTAATTTAGTCAGGATCGGGATTACGATTTAGTTAGGGATACAAGCATGTGACCAACCAACTACTGTTTTGGCGAAATAACGTTAATTATGCTAGGATTTTGGGTATGTGGTCATAGGATTTGGTAAGTATACATAACTTTAGCCAATCTAAGGAACCTAGACATGCGTGGTTATCTAAGAAATGGTTGACTGTATGGGGAATGGGAAGATTCCATATAAAGGGCTGTGCCACACAAAAACGGAAATGAATTTTGCAAAGTTATTAATTCAGAGTTTCGTGAATTCCGAGGACGGAATTCCTTTTGTTAGGGGGGAAGAATGTAATACCCCTAGTTTTCAAAAGGATAAAATGGGAATATTTTGGTTTGTTTTTCATTTTTATTTAAATTATTGGACTTATTTGTTATTTGGTTAAGGGAATATTTTGGTTTGTTTTTCATTTTTATTTAAATTATTGGACTTATTTGTTATTTGGTTAAATTAGTTGATTTATTATTATTTGTGTGTATTTAATTTAATTGTTATATAGTGAATTGGTTTGTTTAATTGATTAAGTGTGAATTATTTATTTTAGATTAATTAATTTATTTTAATTGTTTATTGGTTTTAAATTAATTGTTTAATATGGTTTATATTTTAGGGTTATTTTAATTTAAGTTAGGGTTTCATTTATTCATGGTGTAGCCGACTTGTAAATTTAATTGAATTAAACATAGGTTAAATAATAGCCTATACATATAAAACTGTATGGTCTGCTAGGGTTGGAGAAACAAAAAAACAAAACCCTATCTGCTCCATGTAGTCATCTGCTATCATTGAATCCGCACCGCCCTCAAACATAACCGGCATCAGCTGAGAAAACCCCTTAATAATCTTGAGACGCTTCTGAGTTGGTGTCTCCTCAACTTGAATTGTAGGTTGTGGTGCCGACTGCGACTGAGCAGCAATCGTTGCCCTCACGACATTTTGCAACAAATGATTCAACTCCAGTGCCACAGAACCTTCACCCACTTCAACGGGTGCTTCAACATTATCCCGCTTTGTGGGGACAACTCTCGGGGGAATCAAGTCCCTAAGAAGTGTGTCCTCATCATTTAGCTCCTCTGGATTGGAGCTGGAGCTCTCGCCAACATCACCCCTAGTCGGTCTAGGGCCAACTTCCCTGATTTCCTCACGCCGTGACATTGTTCTATAAAACAAAGGAAACAATTCAATAACGATAACACTAAGGTCCAACCGTGAACAACCCAACGCAAAAAGATATTGTACAAACATTTAGCATGTAATACTATGCAATGAACACATTAATATAAACATATAACCATGTAAACAAGTAAACAGTTAAGCATGCTTTTTTTTTTTTTTTTTTTTTTCTTTCACATAGCAAAACACTTTTGCAAATAAGGAAATAACAATGCAAATGACTTCCTAGACAACCCTATGTAGGCCTCTACCCGTCATCCTAATGGTTTTCGAACCATCGCTCTGATACCAAATTTGTAACGACCCTAGCGGATGCCAAAATTAAAAAAAAAAAAAATTGGCATAACCTCCCCTAAAAGTAGGCCTCAACAACTTGTCCCAATACACAGAACACATAATATCATCCAGCATCCCATTCATCCATTTATTATACCTTAACATAGTTCCTCTCATGGTGGAACATCCACACACCAATTAATCTAAATTATTATAATTATAGTCCCAAAATACATGGTTAAAATTTAAAGTCCCTGTCTTACAACGTTACATGATACAATTGCATGGAAACATATACCATAATTCCATTAGTTTCATTTACATCAAACAAAAGATAAGTTCGTTCTTAAGTTACAAGGTCATGAATACTAACTTAGTTTCATCCCCACAACTATAAATATACATAAAATGGTCAAAATACAAAATAGCAAACAACCTTCTAACAACTTTTAAGCTTGAGGTGGATTGTCGTCCACCGGTTCATTTCCAAGACCTGAAAAAAATAATATAAATAGTAGGGTGAGCATAAAGCTCAGTACGTGACATTTAAGACACAATTCTTGTGTCCTTGTGAATCCAAACAAAGTATAGGCCAATGGGAAATAAGGATCGTGCAATATAGGGAATTAAAACAATATGCACGTCAATTCCAATTATAAACCATGCAGTGCAATGAAATGCAATGCATGCTAATGCCACTCCCCATTTTCATTCACCAAACCATTACTTTCAAATGTTAATACAGCCCGCCCTTTGGTAACCCCGCCGCAACACGAGAGGAGGATTGGCTATCGTCCCTAGACCTTTGGTAACCTCGCAACGTCATCGAGGGGCCCGAACAGCTCAACCACGCTAGGGCGACTCCCTAGTCTCCTCTAGGCTATATTAACCTCCGGCCCGTTGGTAACCCCGCAGTGACCGGGTTTATCAAAACTATTTGACAAAACTCTTCTTCTAAAATTTCCCCCATTTTCATTTCAAGACAAATTCTCCCATTTCATGCATCCCAATGACATGTGCATGGATGTACATATAATCTCAATATTATGTCAAAGGGAAATTTGGCACAATCTAAATAAACATGTTCTCATTAGTCATTTTCAGCATGTTAACACATAGTGGGCATGATAAAACAACATCTAAACATATTTTACACATGAAACAAGTCATAATCAAGCTCTTGAAAATTCTCTAGACATCATTCATACAATCATAGATACAATTAACTCCCAATTAAACATGTTTGACACAACAAGGAGGTTTAATTCACAATAGAATAAGAAAAGAGTGGATTAAGATGCCCCTACCTCAAAATGAGCAAAATCTCTAGAAATGGGTTCTTAAATTCGAGCTCCCAAAGAGGACCAAAAGTTGGAATTTCTGGTACTAGCACGTAGAGCTCGTCGTGCTCATCGTTTTGCCTCAAACGGCACCTAAATTCGCCAAGTAACAAAGAAGAAATCTTGCCTCAAAGATTGGGTTGAAAAAGAAAAGAAAATGAAATAGAAAATTGAGAGAGAGAGATAGATACGGGGAGAGAGAAAGAATGAGAGACCAAAAATGGTCCCTAGCCACTTAAGGCTTAGTGGTGGGACCCACCAAAAATTCTTTTCTTTGCTCTTTTTCTTTTTCTTTTTAATTTATAGATATTACAGAATTATCCGAATTGGGTTCCATAATTAGAGAATTAGGGATGGTCTTTAGTGTTCTAAGTGCTGGGTTCCATAAGCATATGGTGCGATCATTTGACAAGAATATGAGACCATTACAGGATCCTTGCATCCGTAAGGATTGTTTGAGGTGTGAGGGAAGCTGCGGTTGAAAATACTCGTCAAAAGATTCATTATCATAACGTATTGAGTAAAGACTATCAATTATGGAAACTGAGATTCGCTACTGCTGAGGATGATATAACTGTTTTGGCTTGAGGTTCTGAGATGTGCTTGAATGAAACAAGGTTCAATGATTAGAGAGTACCATTGTTTGTAGACTGACTTGAATCGGAATAGTGATTTCACGGGCAGTCTAACCAGGATCTGAATCAAGATTTCTTTGGGGAGATTGTAACGATTCCAAAACTGATACTTTTTAAACAAAAAAAAAAATTTGGCATGACTTCCCCTAAAAATAGGCCTTTCACAACCTGTTTAAATTCATTTTTAACCTATCATGGCTCAAATTCCGAATTCACGGCAATAGTAGATGATAATACACAATCAAATGACCTCAATAATACTTCAAACTAGTATTACTCTCCCCATTCATCAATAAGGTTTACATGTTATCAAATTCACATCCAAAATATTATCTAATAACATAATTATATTACCTAACCATGGTTTTTAAAAATAAATACACATTACTACACTTTTGGGGCCTTACAAAAATGGGAGATATACAAAAGATACAAAATGAGCTCCAAGTCATCCTTAAGCTTATGGAAGATCGGCATCCACTACCTCCTTACCGGTTCCTGGAAAATGTTAAATAAAATGGGGTGAGCATAAAGCTCAGTAGAGAGTGCCTAAGACGCACCTCTTGTAGCCCCGTGAATCCAAACAAAGCATAGGCCAATAGGAAGAGGGGTCATGCAAAATGAGGGAAACACATATTAAATTCCAATTCCAAACAATCATATGTAAAATGTCATGAATGCTATGATATGCGTGTCACTCCCCATTTCTCAGAAAACAACCATACTTTTCAAACTGTTAATATAACCCGCCCTTTGGTGACCCCGCAGAGACACGAGAGGAGGATTGGCTAGTGTCCCTGACCCTTGGTAACCCCGCGGCGTCATTATGGGGCCCAGCTAGCTCAACCACGCTAGGGCGACTCCTTAGTCCCCTCTAGGCTATATTAACCTCCGGCCCTTTGGTACCCCCGCGGCGACCGGGTTTCTTAAAAAAAAACTTTTTCAACAAAGCTTTCCCGAAAATCCCCTTTCTTTCATTTTTCAAAAGTCATTTCCATACGTACAATCCCCAATGATGAATTCATGAATGCCATATACTTTCAATGTTGTAATATAAGGGATTTCTAACATTTGTCATGCCGTGACAATATCATAAAATGGGGAATTTAATACCACAATTTACCACACATGCTCACAACAATCAACTAGATATTTAGCATTATAATAAGCATGATAAATCAACCATTTATCACAATTTCCATACAATCCAACAAATACACATAGATACATGCTTCACATACACAATTAAATCATTTAAGGAGTAATCCATCTAAACTAAGCATGCTTATCAAATAAGTCAACAAACACACATATATAAAATCTTTATATGCACCATTAAATCATTTTTAAAGCAATCAACCTTAAATCAAGCATGTTTGGCCAAAATTCTAGAGGAATAACTCACTAAGGTACAAGAAAAGTGTGAATTAGACACCTTTACCTCTAATTGAGCAAAAACCCCAATTTTCTTCACAAACCCTAGAAATGGGTCCTAAGATTCGAACTCCAAGGAGTGCACTAAATCTGAAATCGCTTGTATGGATGTGTAGAGCTTGACACGAGCTTCTTTGTGCCTCAAACGGCACTCAATTTCGATAAGAAATGAGATCAAGATCTTGTTTCAAAGTTTTGGAAATTAAAATGAAAAGAAAAATAGAGAGGAAGAGAGGAAGAGAGAGGCGCACGGGAGAGAAGGAGAGAAATAAGACCATTTGTGGTCTCTTGGCCCTTAGTTGGTTTAATGGTAGGTCCCACCACCTTTTATTTTCTTTTTCCTTTAACTTTTTGCTTAAATTTGAGCCATAACACAACATAATACACATATTATATATACACCTATGCACATAAATACACAGACATTACATTCTCCCCAACTTAAAAGGATTTCGTCCCCGAAATCAAGACATACCTGACGAAGAAAACAACGCTGGGTACTTGGACCGAACCTCCTGTTCGAGCTCCCAAGTAGCTTCCTCGACTCCGTGGTGTCTCCAAAGGACTTTCACCATTGGTATCGTCTTGTTCCTCAACACCTTCTGTTGTGTGTCAAGGATCTGAACTGGTCCTTCCTCGTAGGAAACATCCTCATCAATGTCCACATCTACCCAACTCAAAATGTGAGATGGATCTGGTTCGTACTTCCGTAACATCGATACATGGAAAACATTGTGGACCCTATCCAACTGTGGTGGCAAAGCAAGCCTGTAGGCAACCTCTCCTACTCGGTCCAAAATCTCGAATGGTCCAATAAATCGTGGCGATAACTTGCCACTCTTCCCAAATCTCATCAATCCCTTCCGTGGAGAAAACCGTAGAAAAACATGGTCTTCCACCTCAAAGGATAACGGTCGTCTCCGCTTATCCGCATAGCTCTTCTGTCGGCTCTGAGCTGCAAGTAACCTCTGTCTTATCAACTTAATCTTCTCAGTAGTCTCGAGTACAATGTCGGGTCCTAAGGCGGCTGTCTCACCTACCTCAGTCCAACAAACAGGAGACCTATAAGGTCTACCATACAACGCCTCAAATGGAGCCATCTGGATGCTCGCCTGATAACTGTTGTTGTAGGCAAACTCAATAAGTGGAAAGTGATCCTCCCAACTACCTCCCAAATCAAGTACACATGCCCGAAGCATATCCTACAAAATCTGGATAGTACGCTCCGACTGACCATCTGTCTGTGGATGGAATGCCGTACTAAAATACAACGCCGAACCAAACGCTGCTTGAAGTCCTTCCCAGAACTTCGAAGTGAACTTGGCATCCCTATCTGACACAATGGTTACAGGGACTCCATGTAACCTTACAATCTCTTTCACATAAAGAACACCAAGCTTCTCTGCATCATCTGTTGCCTTAATAGGCAAAAAGTGAGCCGTCTTGGTCAATCTGTCAATGATGACCCATACGGCCTCATTGCCCCTCCTTGACCTTGGAAAACCTGTCACAAAATCCATAGCAATATGCTCCTATTTCCATTGCGCTACAGGTAACGGTTGCAACAAACCTGCTGGCCTCTGATGCTCGGCCTTCACCTGCTGACAGGTAAGGCATCTAGCCACAAACTGTGCAATATCATTCTTTATCCCACTCCACCAATACTGACGCCTCAAATTGTGATACATTTTAGTACCACCTGGATGAACTGCAAAGCGGGAAGTGTGAAACTCCCGTAGGACATCCTCACGACAAACTGTGGGAACCACCAACAAGCCCCTGAACCGTAGACCCCCATCTGCATGCAAGGCCCAATCTTTCACTGTCTCACCACTAGAGATCAAAGTGTGGATGGCATCTAAGTCTAGGTCCTGTCTCTGTGATTCAATCACTCGTACAACAAGAGTAGGCTGAGCCACAAGACTAAATAAGAATGCCGACTCACTGCAAGCATCATCATCACAACACTGTAATCCCATCTCTGCCAGATCTTCAAGCATCTTCCACTTCCGAATAGCTAAACTGGCCAAAGTTCCACGAGATTTCCGGCTTAAGGCATCCGCTACCACATTCGCCTTGCCCGGATGATATTGCAAGTCAAAATTGTAGTCCTCCAAGAATTCGACCCATCACCTCTGTCTGTTGTTCAAGTCCTTTTGGGAGAAAAGGTACTTGAGACTTTTATGATCTGAAAATACCTCGAATCTCTCACCATACAAGTAATGTCTCCAACACTTCAAGGCAAATACAACTGCCGCTAACTCCAGGTCATGAGTAGGGTAGTTGTACTCATGAGTCTTCAACTGTCGAGACCCATAAGCCACTACTCTACCATCCTACATCAACACACATCCCAACCCGTCACGTGAAGCATCACAATAGATCACATAACCTAAGCCACGCTCAGGTATCACCAACACTGGAGCTGTAGTCAATCTCGTCTTCAACTCCTGAAAAGATGAATCACAGGCCTCATTCCAGACAAACTTGACCCCTTTCCGGGTCAAACGGGTCATAGGAGCTGCCGAACGGGAGAAATCCTTCACAAATCTCCGATAGTAACCCGCTAAACCAAGGAAATTGCGGATCTCAAACACATTCTTGGGTCGCTCCCAAGTCAAAACTGTTTCAACCTTTGATGGATGAACTGATACTCCACCTTCTGAAACAACATGCCCCAAAAACTTCACCTCTTGTAGCCAAAACTCACATTTCTCGTATTTGGCATACAATCGGTGTTCCAGTAAAATCTGTAAAACAATACTCAAATGAACCTCGTGATCTTCCCGAGTCCGTGAGTACACAAGAATGTCATCCACGAAAACTACCACAAACTGGTCCAAGTAATCATGAAAGACGCGGTTCATCAAGTCCATGAATGCCGCTGGTGCATTAGTCAAGCCAAAAGGCATAACAAGGAACTCATAGTGTCCATACCGCGTACGAAATGCTATCTTCGGGATATCCTCATCCCTAACCCACAACTGATAATAGCCAGACCTCAAGTCAATCTTCGAGAAACAACTGGCTCCCCTCAACTGATCAAATAAATCATCTATCCTTGGCAAAGGATACTTATTCTTGATGGTGGCACGATTCAACTTCCTGTAATCAATGCACAACCTCAAAGAACCATCTTTCTTCTTAGCAAACAAGACCGGTGCGCCCCACGGTGACACACTCGGTCGGATGAAATCTTTCATCCTCAAATCATCAAGTTATCTTTTTAATTCCTCCAATTCAACTGGTGCCATACGATACGGTGCCATAGAAATCGGCGCGGTACCTGGCATTAAATCAATAGAGAACTCCACTCCTCGGTGTAAAGGCAACTCTGTCAAATCCTCCGGAAATATATCCAGAAAATCACAAACAACCGCAGGACAATCCTCTTTCCCAACATCATCTTCTTCGGCTATAAGGCTAGCCAAAAAGTAATCACCATGACTTCGTCCACGAACTCCATAAAACGATGAAATGTGGGAATCACTCCGATCTCTCACGAAAAAGAAACAGTCTCCCTCGGGAGTGCAAACTGTAACCCTTCCTTTGTAACAGTCGATCGTGGCATGAAATGAAGCCAACCAATCCATCCCGAGAATGACATCAAAGCTAGTCATCTCCAGGAGGATAAGGTCAAACACGAAAGTCCGCCCGACTATCACAATGGGACACTCCCGCACAATTCGGCTAAAAGACACTAAAACCCCAACTGGCGTATCAACACTCAACGCCCGTTCTAAGAAACTAACTTTCAACCCCGATGCAAGTGCAAATGATGATGAAATGAAAGAATGAGATGCACCAGAGTTAAACAAAACACGGGCCCAACAACCAAACACTGGAAATATACCTCGAAGAACTAACGATCCAGAAGATGCATCGGTCTGTGCCAGTGCAAAAACACGTCCCTGTGGTACCTGTGCCTGAGGACTGCCAACCTAAACACCTGACTGCTGCACTGACATAGTAGGAGTATCCCTCCTAACTGACCGTGAACCCTGTGAAGACATGGCAGGCTGTGGTGGTGGCGGTCTGAAACCTGACTGAACTGTAGCCGACTGAGATGGCCTCTGTCGTGACCCCCTACCACTACCTGTGCCTGCTCCCTGGCCTGGACAATCACGAATCAAGTGACCCTGCTGGCCACACCCATAAAAAGCCTTCGGAGCTGACGAAACCGAAAACGATCTCATCGGACAACTGGACTTGTAATGTTCGAGCTGCTGACATTAAAGGCAAACAACTGCATTCCTATCAAACCCAGCTGGCAACGGAGTGGTAGGAGCAGATCGTACAGACTGCTGTCCCTGAAACTGAGATGGACTGCCCCTGTTCCTTTTCCAAGAAGATCCCTCTGAGGATAGCCCTGCACCCCTCTTTTGCTTCAATTGCTCTCTTCTTGCATCCTTCTCTCTATTGTCAGCCTCCAGCATCAAAGCCCTTTTCCACTGCTTCAGAGTAAACCTTAATAAACTGTGCCGTGATCAACGGCCTCATTTGATCATTAAGACCCGAGACAAACTTCCGAGTCTTGTTAGCTTCATCTCTCACCACTTCTGGAGCAAAACGGGAGAGTAAGGTGAACTTGTTCTCATACTCCGCCACTGACATGTTCCCTTGAATAAGATTATAAAACTGGTCTTGTAACTCCCATCTTTTGGAAAGCGGAAAATACTTCTCATAAAACAGTTCCTTGAACCTGTCCCAGCTCATCTCTTCAATCTTGTACTGGTTGGTGACTGACTTCCACCAAACCTTAGCATCCTTAGCAAACTTATACGTAGCTAGGATGATCTTTAGATGATCCTCTGTCACATCCATTGAAGTTAGTTGGGTTTCAACTTGATCCAAGTAGTCATCTGCTACCATTGGATCCGCACTGCCCTCAAACATAACCGGCATCAGCTGAGAAAACCCCTTAATGATCTTGAGACGCTTCTGAGCTGGAGTCTCCTCAACTTGAACTGTAGGTTGTGGTACCAACTGCAGCTGAGCAACAATAGTTGCTCTCACGATATTTTGCAACAAACGATTAAACTCCAGTGCCACAGAACCTTCACCCACTTCTATGGGTACGGGTGTTTCAACATTCTCTCTTCTTGGGGGAACAGCTCTTGGGGGAATCAAGTCCCTAAGAAGCACGTTCTCATCAACTGGCTCCACCGGATTGGAGCTAGAGCTCTCACCAACATCGCCCCTTGTTGGCCTAGGGCCAACTTCTCTAGGTTCCTCACGCCGTGACATCGTGCTATAAAATAAGAAAACGATTCAGAAATATGACACTAAGGTCCACTGTGGACGACTCAACAAGAATTAATACCGTACAACACTTAGCATGCAAGACTATGCAAGAAACACTTTAACATAAACAAGTAAGCAAGTAAGCACATAGGCAGTTAAGCATGCTCATTTAAATAAGATACCACGTAGCAAGTAGTCAAGTAAACAATATAAACAACATCCCATGCGACTCTATGTAGGCCTCTACCCGTCGTCCTAAAGGTTTTCGAACCTTTGCTCTGATACCACATTTGTAACGATTCCAAAACTGATACTTTTTAAACAAAAAAAAAAAAAAATCGGCATGACCTCCCCTAAAAATAGGCCTATTACAACCTATTTAAATTCATTTTTAACCTATCATGGCTCAAATTCCGAATTCACGGCAATAGTAGATGATAATACACAATCAAATGACCTCAATAATACTTCAAACTAATATTACTCTCCCCATTCATCAATAAGGTTTACATGTTATCAAATTCACATCCAAAATATCATCTAATAACATAATTATATTACCTAACCATGGTTTTGAAAAATAAATACACATTACTACACTTTTGGGGCCTTACAAAAATGGGAGATATACAAAAGATACAAAATGAGCTCCAAGTCATCCTTAAGCTTGTGGAAGATCGGCATCCACTACCTCCTTACCGGTTCCTGGAAAATGTTAAATAAAATGGGGTGAGCATAAAGCTCAGTAGAGAGTGCCTAAGACGCACCTCTTGTAGCCCCGTGAATCCAAACAAAGCATAGGCCAATAGGAAGAGGGGTCATGCAAAATAAGGGAAACACATATTAAATTCCAATTCCAAACAATCATATGTAAAATACCATGAATGCTATGATATGCGTGTCACTCCCCATTTCTCAGAAAACAACCATACTTTTCAAACTGTTAATATAACCCGCCCTTTGGTGACCCCGCAGCGACACGAGAGGAGGATTGGCTAGTGTCCCTGACCCTTGGTAACCCCGCGGCGTCATTATGGGGCCCAGCTAGCTCAACCACGCTAGGGCGACTCCCTAGTCCCCTCTAGGCTATATTAACCTCCGGCCCTTTGGTACCCCCGCGGCAACCGGGTTTCTCAAAAAAAAACTTTTTCAACAAAGCTTTCCCGAAAATCCCCTTTCTTTCATTTTTCAAAAGTCATTTCCATACGTGCAATCCCCAATGATGAATTCATGAATGCCATATACTTTCAATGTTGTAATATAAGGGATTTCTAACATTTGTCATGCCGTGACAATATCATAAAATGGGGAATTTAATACCACAATTTACCACACATGCTCACAACAATCAACTAGATATTTAGCATTATAATAAGCATGATAAATTAACCATTTATCACAATTTCCATACAATCCAACAAATACACATAGATACATGCTTCACATACACAATTAAATCATTTAAGGAGTAATCCATCTAAACTAAGCATGCTTATCACATAAGTCAATAAACACACATATATAAAATCTTTATATGCACCATTAAATCATTTTTAAAGCAATCAACCTTAAATCAAGCATGTTTGGCCAAAATTCTAGAGGAATAACTCACTAAGGTACAAGAAAAGTGTGAATTAAACACCTTTACCTCTAATTGAGCAAAAACCCCAATTTTCTTCACAAACCCTAGAAATGGGTCCTAAGATTCGAACTCCAAGGAGTGCACTAAATCTGAAAATCGCTTGTATGGATGTGTAGAGCTTGACACGAGCTTCGTTTTGCCTCAAACGGCACTCAATTTCGATAAGAAATGAGATCAAGATCTTGTTTCAAAGTTTTGGAAATTAAAATGAAAAGAAAAATAGAGAGGAAGAGGGGAAGAGAGAGGCGCACGGGAGAGAAGGAGAGAAATGAGACCATTTGTGGTCTCTTGGCCCTTAGTTGGTTTAATGGTAGGTCCCACTACCTTTTATTTTCGTTTTCCTTTAACTTTTTGCTTAAATTTGAGCCATAACACAACATAATACACATATTATATATACACCTGTGCACATAAATACACAGACATTACAGAGATGGTAAAGATTGGAATTTGACTCTGTTTTGCTCCTCCTCGCTATTTTGTTTCGCCTTCACTGCGGCCAATTAGGTATTAATAAACAAAAAACAGCCTAGATTTTGATTTCTTGTTGAAACCCTAGACACTTGGGGTTGTCTTTGAGTCGCAGCCTCGCAGGTCAAGTTGGATTAGGTTTGGATTTTGAAGATTAAATCTAATATGGAAACAAAATAGATAAATAAGGAGAAGAAGAAAAACATGGATTATATTTTTATATATATATATATATATATATATATATATATATATATATATATTCCCCCTTTTTTTAAGGAGGCAATATTAATACTCCATTTTTATATATCTGAACTCCAATCTTAATGGTCAAAAAACAAAAAAAAATTTCTAATTTTAAAAATTAATAATTGTTTTTTTTAATGCCATAATTACCCTTTTCAATTATGGTAAGATCTTTTTGTTTTCTCCTCTTTCAATTAACGTTTTTGGTATCTTTTATTTTTTTGTTAAGGAAAATGCTAAACATCACAAATTATTGTATCACAGAAATAACTTGAATTACATCACAGATGACATGACAATTTAACTTTGTGTATTTTGAATGCGATTTTGTTCAAAGAATACATGGTATGATTGAGAGAAAAAATAGAAAAAATTTATTTATGATAAAATCTAAATCCAAATAAAACTCTTTGCCAAACGTTTTAGGAGGTTAACTCTTTCTCTTCAATATGAACCCTAATTTTTTGAATCAATTTTTATGTGTTAATAATTAAATAAATATATAATTCACTTAAAGCTTTTTAAAATTATACTTTGACTCATTTTCTCCTAAATAAGAATTCTAATTTTCTCAACAATCTACATGTTTGGGTAATTTGATTAATAGATAATTAACTTCATGTTTATCATAATTATAAAGTTGAGAATGCAAAAGAGAATATTTATATATAACAAAAAAATAGAAGTAGAGAAAAGAAAATTAGATAGAGAAACCTAATTTTAATGTTAGTTCTGACTTTTTCGAGTAATTCACACAAATGCAGATTAAAATTTTCCCCATTCATTGAGATCGAATCGAATTAGAATTGATATCTAATCTGATCTTCTCCATCTCCATGGCCACCCTAATCGAGTAAAACTCATACTTTAATATTAAACTAGAATTTGAATCTAATTAGAATTGATATCTAATTCAATCTTATCCATGGCCGCCCTAATGGAGTAAAACTCAGACTTTAATATGAAACTACAATTTGTGAATGTCTTTGCTGAGCATCATCTGGTAGCGTTAACTCTCTCAAAACTTCATTGTTAATGTTTCTTGAAGCACTACATATCAGAAGAATAATAGTTAAGAGCATCTATTGCATTTGACTAAATGAAACATTGTGTAATTTGCCTTGATTTAATAAAATTTCAACCTTTCTCTTTGTGTTTTTGCATGTTTGCAATGTGCTCTGTTTTGTGGTTGAGGAAATTCTGAAATCTAATCGAAATTTGGAGGAAAGTGGAATGCAAACTCCATTAGTTCAATTCAAGAATGAGAAATCTAATCTTTAACCAGGCTGGGGTCTCTGGACACATGAACATATGTGGAGCAGCAAGATGATATCTAATCTTTGTTAGGGTTAATTAGCCTGGTGACACTCCTAATTATGTAGTGACGCAAATATGGTGATCACCAAAAACTGCTGTGGATGGAGGAACTACATACAACAATGCAGATATAGTAAATTGGGAAATCCACTTAAACAATTTACAATCTTGTGGGTAAATGCCTAAATGGTGGTCCTTGGACATGGAACTTTAGAAGGTTAAGTGTGTTTCAGACATCGCAAATCCCCAAAGCATATAACACTTGCTTCTGTTTAAAACCTTTTCAATGATAAAGCTTAAAATCACCAAGTTCATGCATTCAAGCTAAAAAAGCTATTCACATTACATTTTTACAATAGGTCATTTTTCATTCTTTCCCAATGCTTCTCAAGAAAAACCAAATCGGTGCTTATAATTTACAGTCTCCAACTTGCAAAATACAATATTTTTGACCAGCCAAAGACAACAATCAACACTAAGACATGAGTTGTGGTACACAACTCTTACAATATGACAAAATGAGTAAAATAATTGATTTCACCTCTCTTGCTACCATTTCTTGGTGACTCCTCAAAATCAATGCTTCTTGAGATGTTCCTGGTAAATAGCTGCATCACAATCCTTGTCTTCCTCACAAGCTAACAGATCCAGCGAGCACATAGCGATGGCAACTGTGATGGCAACCCAACACAAGCAGCGAGCTAACAACAAGCAGTGACCCTTCAGCACGCACATGAAGGACCTTAAGTGTAGCTTTTAAGTAACTAGACCTTTTTAATGTATCTGCTATACATCTGTTCTTTTTCTTGTGTTAGCTAATTCAGAAGGTGAAGTGAAAAAAAGACTCTGCACCATCAAAATTATTGAATGAAACTCTCCACGTAAGAATACACAGAGAATAACTGTCCATGGATTCCTAGATCCTTAGCTCTTCGGGTTTCAAAATTATAAGATACCAAATCGCTCTTGCTGTTTACTTGTAGCAGTTCACCGCTCTTTCTCAAGCCTAGTAGCTCTAAAGGTGTGTCTTGGAAGTTAAGAGTAAATCGTTTTGTCCACGAACCCATGTTGCCACACTCCATTGTCCATAAGTGGCAACACTCATTCGAATGAAATAGGAAAAGATACAGTGATTCCCCCATAATTGCAATGTGCGGATAACAACCATGTGTAGCACCACTTGGCAGCATTACGTCTTCAAAAACTTCATCACCCATTTCAAAACGCACAAGTAAACAACAAAAACCCTCATCAGTTCTCTTCATTGCTACCCAATACGCAGCTCCATTCCCGATTGCAGGTAACTGATCAGCAAAAAAATATGAAGAAGCACCATCAATTATTCTCCAAGAATCCGTGCTTACACTATAAACCTCAGTTCCAGTCACGATGTTGGGTATACGAATGTCACCATCCCAAAAGCACAAAATCCTCACAACCTTGTAGTCATTAACTCCAGGGAGGAACTCAAATGCCAAATTGGCCCGATAGGTTTTTGAATTATCGGAATTGGGTTCCATAATTAGAGAATTAGGGAGGGTCTTTAGCGTTCTAAGTGTTGGGTTCCATAAGCATATGGTGCGATCATTCGACAAGCATATGAGACCATTACAGGACCCCTGCATCCGTAAGGATGGTTTGAGGTGTGAGGGAAGCAGCGGTTGAAAATACTCGTCAAAAGATTCATTATCATAACGTATTGAGTAAAGACTACTGTCAATTATGGGAGATTCGCAGTGGCTGAGGATGATATAACTGTTTTGGCTTGAGGTTCTGAGATGTGCTTGAACGAAACTAGGTTCAATGATTAGAGAGTACCATTGTTTGCAGACCGACTTGAATCGGAGTAGTGATTTCACGGGGAGTCTAACCAGGATCTGAATCAAGATTTCTTCGGGGAAATGGAAAAGATTGGAATTTGACTCTGCTTTGCTCCTCCTCGCCATTTTGTTTCGCCTTCGCTGCTGCCAATTGGGTATTACTAAAAAAAAAAAACCCTAGATTTGATTTCTTGTTGAAACCCTAGACACTTGGGGTTGTATTTGAGTCGCACAGCCTCGCAGGTCAAGTTGGATTAGGTTTGGATTTGAAGATTAAATCTAATATGGAAACAAATATAAATCCGGTCTCAAAAAGAATGAAATATCTTGCTTTCCTTTTTGAACGGGAAATTTACTTTTTCAAATAATATATTTCACAATTTTGTAAAAAAAATAATAATAAATGTCTTACTTTTTTTACACTGTCTCAAAATAAATGTAGACTCTAAAATAAGGAAGAGAAGAAAAACATAAATTACATTCTTATTTTTATTATAATTTTCTTTCTTCTTTTTTTTTTTTTTTTTTAAGGAGGCTATATTTGTATTCAATTTTTATATGAACTCCAATCTTAGAGAAAATGGCACCTCTAACACTAATTTTAAAAATTAATAATTATTTTTTTTTAAATACCATAATTACCCTTTTTAATTATGATAAATTTTTTTTTGTGTCCCCCTCTTTTTCAATTTTAAACTCTTTCTTTATTTGGTATTAATTTTCTATTCCCTCTTCCATTAAGGTTTTATATTGATTTTTGTAAGTGTAACGACCCGAACCTGTGGGTCCGTATCGTTAACCGGGTACTTACTCGGACCCGAGGTCAACTAAGTCATACTATCTATTTCTTGTGTCCACATCTGTCATACGAGTCATTCCAGGTTTCCAAAGCATCCCAAGATATAACCTTATAGAGAGGGTCAAGTGATACAGGTCAAAAGGAAGGGATCATCCAGCTAATGGCCCTTGACCGGCTGGCTGATAAGACTGGTTCGGTCGGCTAACCAATAGGGTCAGCTGGCTGAAACGATTGCACAAGATGCAAGCTCTCGGGACTTTCCAAATTAGCCTGTCGGTTGGCTGATGGAGAGGGTTTGGTCGGCCGAACCTGGGGTTTCGGTCGGCTGATGGTGAGGGTCAGCCGGCCGAAACAGGTCTTCCTGGGATTCAACTCACTGGAATGAATTATGGTTGTGCTTTATACATACTCAACCTATACCGGACCTGTTATGTAGTTAAATTCCGAATTCACGGCAACAAAATATAATATTATACAACTTGATGGCATCAATAATAGATCAAAATATAATTTCCTTTTTCCATTCATCATTAAGTATATACATAGTCCAAATTGTATCTAATTACACTTAAAAGTTATAATTACAAAACACGGCCATGATTTTCAAAATGAATACACTTTACAAAAGTTTGAGACTTTACAAAAGGGTGGCGATTACACAAAAGATGACAAAAGTGGATTCCTATTCTTCCTTAAGCTTGTGGAGGATTGTCATCCATCACTTCCTTCCCGAGCCCTGAAAAATGTTAAATGTAATGGGGTGAGCTAAAACACACCTCTTGTGACCCTGTGAATCTAAACAATGAATAGAACAATAAGGAGCGGGGTCATGCTAAACCGGGGAAAAATACAATATCAATTCCAAGTTCAAAACAAGCAAATGTTGTGTCATAAATGTAATGCCAAGCATGTCACTCCCCATTTTCAGGAAATATCCATCGCTTTTCAAACTATTAATATAACCCGTCCTTTGGTGACTCCACAGTGACACGAGAGAAGAATTGGCTATTGTTCTTGACCCTTGGTACCTCCGCAGCGTCATTTGGGGCCAGATAGCTCAACCACGCTAGGGTGTTTCCCCTAGTTCTCTCTAGGTTACATTAACACACCGACCCTTTGGTGACTCCGCGGCGACCAGATTTTCTCAAAACCATTTAATCAAATTTCTTCCCAAAAATTCCTTTCTTTTTCCAATTCAAATACTTTGCCATTTTCATGCCCAATGCTATGAATGCATGTCACATAATTTGCCATTTCTATAGAAATAAAGAATTTATACTACACAATTTAGCATGCATCTACATAGTCATTCTAGCAAGATAATAAACACTTATGCATGAAAATTAACACTTAAGCATGTAAATTAACACTTAAGCATGTTTTTCACATAATTCCATCAACACACATAAGCATAGATTTCAAATACAACAATTATATCATTTTTGTAGGCAATCAATTCAAATTAAACATGTTTAATAACAATTATTGAAGAAAAACTCACAAAGGAACAAGAAATTGGGAATTAGAAACCCCTACCTCAAATTAAGCAAAAACCCCCAATTTTGAGCCCTAGATCTTGAATTTCCTAGAGTGCACCAAACACGAAATTGTTCCGATCAAATTGTAGATCTCGCTGTGAGCTTCAATTTGCCGCAAACAGCACTCAAAAATACCAAGTATTGAGGGAAAAATCAAGGTTTGTAGCCTTGATAGAAAATGAAAAAGAAAAAACTAGGAAAGGGGTGAGAGAGAGAGACCAGCGAGGAGAGAGAATGTGAGGAAGAGAAATGTGAGATCAATGTGATCTCTTGACTACTTATAGTGGTAGTGGGCCCCACCTCAAATTAATTTATTTTCCTTTTAAATTTTATTTTCTTTTTACACCACACACATATATTTATACATATTTAATTCACAATCATTTAAAACACATAAAATAAATAAATATGATGTAAATGAATTCAACCAAAATCCCCGAATGCAATAATTCTGGTAGCAGATCCCACACGAGACCGTCTGGCCCGAAAAATTGAAAAATGCCAAAATGATCACCCTTGCATTTCAAAGAGTCTTGAACTCAATAAAATGCCCCAATCAACTCTCAAACACAACTAGCACACCCCCACGGTGTTCGGCACGCAAAATGAGAAAATACGAAAATGCCCTTGCAACAATAAAAATTTTGAAAAAATAGAAAATGACGAAAAATAGAAACATTACAATCTACCCTCCTTAAAGAGATTTCGCCCTCGAAATCTATTTTCCTTAATGAAGGAGGCTCACAGCTACACACTGTAATACCCCTAATTTTAAAAAGGATAGTTCTGAAATTTATTTAAATTGTTTAATTTATTTGATGTAATTGTTGGTTTATTTAATTGTTATTTAATTGAATTTTTGTTTTGCTTTAATTGTTTAATGGATTTTTTTGTTTTATTTTAAATTGGTTGCTTATTTTAGTTAATATTTATTTGAATTTAGTTAAATGTTTTATTTTATTAAATTAGGTTTTTATCAGTTTTGGAAGCCACATATTTAGCCGACTTGTCTTTCTGTCTAGTATTAGGATTAAGGTTTAACTGCACCTAGGTTTAGTTGGCCAATATATATATCTGTATAAGGCTGCCAAGGGTTTAGAACCCTAACCACACGTATTGGAGGCAGAAGAATCAGGGGAGTTAGGAGCAGAGGAGAATTACTGTAGTTCGCCGGAAAACTTAGAAGAAAGATGTTGAGATTTTTGAACCGAATCTCACAGGCAAGTTCTAATACTAACGCTATCTCTTTGGCCTGTGTTCTTTGTATCCCTAATTCAATTCCAGGATGAAATAAATTTAATTTAATTTGTTTTAACTTGGTTTGCACGGTTATTTGGTTTTAAAACAGTATGTGTTTTCTGTATCTGTAACTTATTCGTTTTTAAACGGTTTTGCATAATTCTTGTTCTAATGGTAATTGATTAATGTTTAATGAGTTTAAATAGTTCTGGAGGACTTTTCTTTGCATCATTAACACAATCCCAGGAGGAAGTAAACAGTTAAACTAATTTTTGGTTGCATAGAAGTTGTTCAAAATCGTGTGTGTTACCGATTGGGTTTTTGGCTTGTTTTGAATCTGTTTGGAAAAATTCTTGTTCCAATTAGTTTGGATTAATGATCAATGAATTTACTTAATTTTGGAACACCCTAGGACTTAGTTTATTCAGTAATAAACTTGGGTTGAAGGAACAAAGTTGCCGGACACAGCCGGAAGTGGAGAAGAAGACGCACAGGGGAAAGCCTGCTCTAATTTGAGTAGAGCAGGCTCAACAAAAGGGTAGAGTAGGCTCTACCTTAGGTAGAGCCGGCTCCTTGGGCTCTACAGGCGGCTCCACTTTGGCTGCTCCACCTTGTGTGGAGCAGGCTCTTTCGATTTTGCTTCCAGTTTTGATTTTTTGCGAAACCTGGGCTACGAGGATTGAATTATTTACATTCTAGGCTGAAAACAGAGTGTTTTAAAAGTTATTCAGTAAGGTATAAACCCTTGTTAAATGGGCAGAAGCCAAAGTAATTCATAAGATACCATAGGAATTCATAAGATACCATAGGAAGCTAATAGGGTCACAGTCTACCCCTTAGAGAAGTTTTCAGGTTTAACTTTGTGGTGGATGGTTCAGGTTGTTTAATTTTAAATTAGCAATTGAATTAGGAGTTTGATATTTAAATCATGTATCAATGGTATGAGATTAAGCATGTTAACTAATACGAATTCAGTTAATGCATAAGAAGAAGTTAGTTGATATTTTTTAAAGAACTATATATATCAACTTATAGGATGTTGTGGATTGGTTATATGTAAGCATGTTAATTCTGTTAATGTTATTAATATGCTTATTGTGAGTTACAGGATTATTATATTTATTCTCTGCATTTAAAATTTGTTAGAGAATCAGGTACTGGATGTATTGAACAAGCATACTAGCTAAACATTCTTGTTATGCATATGATTGGATATGTTGATATTGATATGTTATGCTATCATATATATATTATCCATACTGGATGGATGGTTTGCAGGCATCGGTATGGGACGGTGACATATCAGGGGGATTAGCTCAAAAACAATGATTAAAATAATAATCATACCAAGAATAATCCACATTTTCTTTTAAAAAAGGAAACTCCTTTAACCTTAATCCCATCCTAGTCAGTAGCTTAATCATTTAAACAATAAGTTATAATACAAGGAATCTTATATTTAATCTCAAAACCCGACAATGATTTTAATTATTTAAATCAAATATCCAAACTCTAAGCATTGACAAATCATCAATGTCTCCACCAATATT